AACTGTATTTCTGCTGGTTTCCCTGGTGCCCAGCAAGCACAGTGCCTGGCACAGAGGAAACAAAGGTATGTTGGACAATGAAAATCCTCACCCTGTCATCAGGCAAAAGGGAAATGAAGCTGCTTCTGTAACAGGCAGAGTATGTGAATATCCTCATTTAATTTCTTCAGTCTCTTCCCTTCACCCAATATTTTTTTCTTTTTTTGAAAATGATGCTTAATCATCACGTTAGCATTTTTAGTCTTTAAAAATGACTAGGTAGAGCCATTTTTTCCGAGGAAAGAAAAAAACACTTAACCCTTCCTGCTGATTTAGCACTTCTTAACTAGATCACGTAAAACTTCTAGATGTTTGAAAGGATGACTTTTTTTTTTTTTTTTTTTTTAATGTAAAATGTTCTCTGTGAGTGGTGGTCGTTGTTTGGGCAATTACCTTGATGGAATGGTAGCCTCCAAGTAATGCTCCCAGAGGTCACAAAACCACTTCACCCACCAAATTCAGATGCTTGAATCATGCGGTGTATTAAATAAATCCAAAATGTCCAGGAGAAAGCAGGGGAAAGAAATGGAGTAGGCTAGGGTCCATGCTGGGGGAAGGGTGGGCCACCCTTCCAGACTCCTGGGTTTTGCGTTCATGTGTTCAGTCTTTGCCCTGTCAAAATCTTTGCTGATGCGGAGGTTACATGGACTGGAGCAGAGGTTCTAAAAAGGTGGGGTTCAGCGGGTGGGAGGTGCCTGATGCCAGTGTGTTTCCACTCTTGGAGAAGGCAAGTACTCTTGGTCCCAGCTGCAGGTAACAGTCTGTTGAGTAGTGATGGGTTTGATTAGCATTTCTCAGGCAGAGTACACGTGGGGCCAGAATGGGAATGGAATGAGTGTCAAAGATAGGTATCTGAATTAGGGATGACATAGCTCTCATTTTGAAGGTGCTGTGATTTGTTTATGACTTGGTTCTCCCACCCCATTCTATTCATGGTAACATGTTTATTCAGTCCTTTTTAATTGTGTTCAACACACTTAGGTTTCATTTATTTGATCCACGTTGAACACGTTTTACAGGTTTCTAACTTGCTGTTTATATTTAACACTTCCTATGAGCTTTATTCATCCTGCTTGATTTTCTTGTTCTCTCTAGCAGAATTGATTATTCTCCGGTAATACAGAAAGCACATTATAATGGTTGCATATGGCAGTACAATAGTTACTATAGATTCTCATTAATTGGCTTTCATCGGTTGCTCATTTAATTCCGGTAAAAAAAAAAAAGGTTACTGCAAAGTAGGTGACCTGTCACTTGTTCCAGTAATTGACAACTTTACATTTATGTTGATTTGGAAAATCGGCAGAAGAGAAGAATTGTAGCATCTAGGTGTTCCATATGTAGAAAACACCTTCAGTCCTGTCCTTTGCTGGGTGGCTAGGAGCAGGGTAAGGTGATGAACAGAAATGAACTGTTGAGTTCTGGAAAGAACTTGAACTCCATGATCTCCAATCATTTCCATTTTCAGATATGGAGTATTAGGCTTAGAGAGGCAAAGTGTCGTATCCAAGGTCACACATCTAGTTATCTGCAAACCTTGGTAGTCTTTAGTCCCTTGAAACCTGTCCAGTGTTCTTGCCTCTGTGTTAAGAAGTGAAATTACTTTCTGGTGTTCTTTTGGCAGCTGAATTATGGTAAGCATTTACTTGAAAGAGCTTTTCTGAAAATGAGAATGCACATAAAGTCTCCATGTATGAAAATAGATGTTTTTTACATTTCACTCTGGTGAGTGCTAATGGGGTCTCTCTATTTCAAGGTGCCAATCATTTACAAAGAGAAACGAGAAGCTGGCAGAGGAAATGTTCAGTTTTGTGGGGGGGGGGTTGGATGAGTAGCAGTGTGGTTGTATTGGATTAGATTGTTAGATGGGGTGTCCTATAAATAGGAGGGACTGAATTGGTCCTGAACATGCTTTTCTTTAAACTTATAACCACTGACACTTGACACCTACCATTTATCTTCTCCTTTTCCAAAAAGTACCCTATTCTTTTCTGACTGTAATATTTGTGGTTCTTTGAAATAACAATATACATGATAAAAGTAAAAATAAAATCAGAAGTCTTTATTGGATGCCTGTTTTATGCCAGGCACTGAGAACTTTGACTATAACAATGACCAAATAAATCTGCCTGTCCTCGTGGAGCTTCTAGTCTAGAGGGGAGAGAAAGGAAATACAGTAAAAAAATATAACAAACATGAAATAAGAGCATAAGTCATATGAAGAAAGATTACAATAATTAAGTGGTGTGGAGAAAATAACCAGGGTGGTGTGTTCACTATTACTGGGGAGCCTGCTTTGGAGGGAAGGACCAGGAGGTTGCATTTGCAGTTAGAGCCGAAGGAGGCAGGCATGGGAAGAGTGGGGGAGAGCTCTGGGGGTAAAGGGAAGAGTAGTGCAAAAACCCTGAGGCAGGATTGGGCTTGGGTGTGAAAGAAGAGGCTGAAATTGGGCAGGAGACGTAGGCAAGTCCATTGGTGTGTGACCTTGCAGGCCATGCTCAAAAGCCTGGATTGTATCCTGGGAGAACTGGGAAGCCATGGAGGGTTTTTAGCAAGAGAATGTAGAGGATGCTGATTTAGGTGTTAAGATGAGCTCTTGAGCTGCTGTGGAGAATGGAGAAGGCAACGCAATATGGAAGCGGGGAGACCAGTTAGGCTGTTGGAGGTGCCCCAGTAAGAGATGATGGCAGCTTGGAGAGGAGTTTGAAAAGCGGGGGGAAGTGGACAGATTCCAGACCTGGGAGTCCTCATGATTTGCCCTTGGATTGGATCTGGAGGGTAGAAGAAAAGGAAGATTCAAGGACAAGTTCTGGTCTTTTCGGCTTAAATTGGGTGGTTCCATTTACCAAACTGGGAACTCCAGGAGAAAATAGAGGGCTGGGCACGGGGGAGAACAAGAGCTCTGTCCTGGGCATATATAATCTGAAATGCTTATTAAACCTTCATGTGGAGATATTAAGGATATTGAATGTGTCCGTTGGTTAAGGGAGAGATTGGGGTGGTAGATATACACTTGAGTGGCATTGGCCATGGAGCTGGAATGATGTCCAAGAGAACGGAGTGAGAGGTGAGGACATTATCATTGATGTACCTGCTGGAGGAAAGAGCTATCAATATCATGGCTGATGGATCATTGTCCCCTTCGCACTGGGCTCCAGCTTCAGAACCTCTGATGAGCTCTCTGGGCCAACGCTGCCAATCAGTTAATTCCTAATAGATGAATAAAGAAGGAAACAGCAGAAAGGGAAAAAGTCACATGTAAGTTAATCCCAAGAGCTGCGTGTGTGTGTGTGTGTGTGTGTGTGTGTGTGTGTGTGTGTGTGTGTGTGTTCCTGGCACTAAATTCTAGGTGGAATTTATTAGGACTTGTACCCAGCAGTATAAAAATGTTAACAAACATTTGCTAATGATCTCTAGTTTACAAAGTGATTACTTCATACATTTAATAGATCATGAATATTATCATGCAAAGTCTTTGGGATTTTGTAGGAGGTGTAGAAACATTCCCTAAGTGGCTCTTATCTCTGCCCCTGATGAAAGCTAAAAGCCTGCCACTTAACAGTAGAGTAGTGAAGGCCTTTCTTTGGGTAGAAAAGCAAATGTCCTAGGTGGGTTTTATGTGGGTAGGGTCCTCCGCCTGGGTTAGGTGCCTCCGAGATAGAGGACCAACCTTGCTTCCTGCCTTCCGTAGCCTAGACTTCTACAGCTGGAAGATTGTGGTCTTTGCTGTGCTGCAAACTTCAAAGAGCAACTCGTAGAATTACACAAGGATGGAGAGACCTGAGAAATTGCCTAGTTCACCTCTCCTCCCCTACCCCCTGCCCCATTTTGTAGATGAGAATACCGAGGCCCAAGGTCAAGAACTTGATTTTTTTTTTTTTTCTTCCTGTTGGAAGCCACTCTTTAGGATGAGATTCTTCAAGGTCCATGTAGTCTGTGATTTGCCTGGGCCACAGAGCTTTGGAAGGTCTTGGTTATTTCTCCAGGAGTCTGAAAAACAAAGTAGTTCTACAGAGGATGGATGGGGTCAGGGCATGAGAGGAGGAACCAAACATACCTTTGGTATTCATTTGTTATCCTCTGAATAGTTTCCTTTAATTCTGCTCTGTTGGTAGTCCGTTTTTGACTTGAAGTGAGGTGTGCAATAACGAGAACACCTAGTTTCTTACAATTGGGGGGTGGGGGCGGGTTGGAGTATGAAATGATGAATGTCCCATGATGCAGAACTTGGAGAAAGAGATTCCTGGCCAGGAGCAGAATTAGCTGGACTCACGCACCTCGAGGCCTATTGAATTGGCCTCCACTTTAATATGTCATGAGCAGAGTCATCCACTCCATGTTTACAGAGAAGTTCCAGGCACCCTTATGGATCATGCACATGCCTTGTATTCGTTAAGCAAAAGTGGAATTGTCTGGCATTATTAACACGAGTAAATCTCTGCTGGGTACAAAGCAAGGACAAATTTCCCTCTACACATCACAAAGAGAAAGAAACCATGGGGAAAAGTACAGCGGGAGCCTGCTGAATGGCATTTGGGTGCTGCTATAAACACAGGATTCTCTGAATTCAGGATCTATTTATCTGATTGTTTCTCACCTTTTTTACAGCAACTTAATCTGTAGTCGGCCACATTGCTCAGTGTCCCATCAGGGTTTCTGTCAGAAAGTCACTGGATGGCCAACTATGAATTTGTCAAAATGACAAGTGGGTACAGTGACAGAGGTGGCATTTCTGGGTTTTGTGTTGAATGAATGCTGCTGGATGGAGGGGTGGGAGGTGCCTGAAAAGATAAAGTATTGGCAAGGTGCAGGGGTGGGGTGGGATGAAAAAGGCAACCTGGATCCTCTGGACATTTCTAACTGTATGTCTTTTCTCTTTCTTACTTTCCCTCTCCTTCTGTCTTCTTTTCCTCCTCCTCGTTCTCTGTCCCCTTCTGTTTCTGTGTTTCCTTGACCCCTAGATTCAGAAAGGGAGATCCATGCAGCCCCTCATGTGAGTAAGAAATTAATCCAGCTGTTCCGGAATAAGAGTGACTTCACCTTTTTGGCCACTGTACAGCAAAAGCCATCGACTTCAGGAGTGATCCTCTCCATTCGAGAGCTGGAACACAGGTAAGCTGTACTTTTGAAAGTCTACTTAAAATTAACGGACTACACAAAGTGCCTTGGAATTGAGAGGTTGTATCTCTAAGAGAGCACGTAGCTAGCTGAAGCCTTGTTGCTGTTGAACACATTGTTGAATGTTCCCTGCATCAAGAACTTACTTTGGGCAAAGTGGCTTTCTCGTTGACTCTCCAAGGACAACTCCTCAGTGTCTTTCTTGCCTATCTTCTGTCTTCTGGCAGACTTGGCTCCTATGAAACCATATCCTCTGTCATATTGGCTTGAGGTCCTCAAGCAAAGTTAGACTTAACTTTTACTCTATGCAGGAACTGTGCTGGACGCTGGGAATACTAAGGTGAAAAATACAAAATTTCTTTTGTAAGGATCTCAGAAGGCAGTTGGGAAGATGGACAAATGTCACAAAGTATTGTAGAAATGTGTGTTTAAGGAATAGAGGTAATAACAGTCCATTCTGAAGGATCGTGGTAAACTAAGGAAGGCTTCAGAAAGGATTGTGGTCGTATAAAGGAAAGTGAGTATTCATTCGACAGGCTGAATGAGCAGTAAGGGGTGGAAAGAAGGGTATTCCAGAAATCACTTGCTATGATTTTTGGGGAAGGAAAAGGTGGGTGGGATCAGTGGTTGGCATGTTGTGTGTGGGGAGGGGGCTGAGGAGTTTAGGGTGGGCAGGAAGGAGTAGTACCACAGAGGTAGGTGCCTCTGTAGCCACTATTCGGAGAACAGAAGTGTCTGGGAGTTCACGGGTCCCCCAGGCAGCCTGTTGCCCGTGATTGACAATGTGAGAGCTGGGAAGCCTAGTTCCTTTGCCTTGGGGGCCTTAAGGCCAGACCAGCTCTTCAGCTTAAAACCTGGAATTGGGCTGAGGCTTCCATGTTCTGCTCCCGCCCCCCCCCCTCAGCACTTCCTTAGGAAATCGCTTTTCCTCAAATTCACATGTCCGAGTCTGCTTCTGGGAATCCTGAATTCAGATAAACCTTCCTTTACCTATTTAGGTGGACCTATCTAAAAGGAGAACTACGTAAAGGCAATTCAGTACACTAGGTCAGTGGTTAGGGAAGATCATACGGAGTGGCAACTCTGGAAGGGCCAGAATTCTGGCAGGTCAGGAAGTCCTTCTGACGTACTAAACAGGAAGAACGGTGTGGACGGTCAGAAGAGAAATGCAGGAAAATGCAATTTTGGGGGGTGGGGTGGAGAGGTGCAGAGAACAGACTAATGTGGCTGGAGCAGAGGATCTCCATGAGCCTTTTTAGCAGAGGTGAGGATCCAAAGTTCTCTTTTCAATGGTTAAGTTTGATCTCTGCCTCAAAGGGGTGCGATGGATCCTGATCCTTCTGTAAGGATGTTGCCCGCATAACTTGGCTGTTTCTGGGTCAGCCCAGAGGAAGCGAGGTGGCATGTGCTGGGGAGCAGGTACAGATTAGAGGCCAAGTGTTCTGTAGACTCGGAGAAGGTGTAGGAGTCCTTGTTACTCCAAGGTGGAGGTGTCCAGCCAGTCTCCGCTTCACAGACTTGGAAGGGTGATGTGCTTGTCCCCCTGGGGCAACATGATGCGGTTGGGTGTGAGGGCCGCCTCAGTAGGAGTGTCCAAGAATGGAACGTAGAGGATCTTTAATCTCCATGAAAGCAGAGCGGTAACTTCCCAAGGTGAGTGAGAAGCCAGTGGAATGGCACCTGTTGGAGTAGAGCAGAGACTGCAGAGCTGGCCTGAGGGAGGCTGGAGTTCTAGTTCTCACTCTGCTGTGCTGTTGAAGGTCTCAGAACTCCCCTTCCTTGTGATGAAGGGAGGTAGCCATCTCCTTTGCAGGGTTGCTGTGAGGGTGGAAGAGGTTAGGGCCTGGGAAGTAGACCGTCCTTAAATTACACATTTCCTCTTGTCTAAGCATGAATCTTAAAGCTACTACCTGGGTTTTTCTTTTGGATTTTTTTTTTTTTAATGATAAAACCTAACTCCTTTTAGGAAGGGTTAAAACAACAACTTGTATTGCCACATGGTCCTGTGATGCCACCTTCTCTTCCCTCGCAGATTTCTAATAGAACCTGAGGATCTTTGAATGGAGAATCATCTGAGCATTTTTCATTTTAATAGGAAAACCTCAGTCTTGATTCAAAAGTAATAAACATAAGGAAATGGAAAATTCCCCTCCCCCTTGGAATTCTATGGTGCCTTCCTCTATGCTTGTTTGGTCTGATTAAGGCTAGGTATAAATAATTGAATCTGTCATGCACTGGCTATGGGTCATAAAGAAGACCTGGTTTCCACGCTTAAACAGATGTTCACCTAGTTAAGGAGACCTGGTATGTTAGAGGGATATATGATCGTGTATTTTTAGCAATTCAGCTATTATAAGCCGGCAGTGTTCCCATCTGTAATAGAGAATCTTCAGTCACTCTTCAGATTTATTTATCAGGACGACCATGTTGAGAGCAGCAAATTGTCTTGGAGACATTGGTCATGGACCTCCAACCAGATGTAGAAGATGACCAAGGATTTGAGACTCTTGATTCAGTAGTGGAGGGTTTAGGGACTGGCTAGGTTAGATAAAGAAATTGGAATCTGTCAGGGATCTGACAGCATGACTGGAAGGTGAGACTCCCCAGTTCTTTTCATGGTTCTTTCCTATGTGATCCTCATTGTATCACTCATGATGCAGATGAATTAAATATGTATCTGCCACAGTTGGGATATAGTGGGCACTTAGGTTTCCAGATAATTTAAAAAATTTTTACATTTCACTACTTTTTAGTATATTCAGAGTTGTGCATTCAACACAGTCCTTCACAAATTTCCATTACCTCCAGGACAAATCCCATGCCCTGAAGGTGTCCCTCAACTGTCTCCCCATGGCATCCCCACCTTAGGCAACCACTCGTGTATTTTCTGGCTCTATGGATTTGCCGATTTCGGACATTTCCTATGAATGGAATCATATTATGTGTTTGTGACTGGCTTTCATTTAGACTGTTGACCGGGTTCTTTCATGGTGATTGTGGGTGGGTAGTGCATTTTTAAATTGCAAGATATTGCCTTGTTTGGACAAACCATGTTTTATTGATCAGTTGGACACTGAATTTTTTCCAGTTTTTGGCACTTAGGAATAATGCTGCTATGAAATTTCATGTAGTTTCTGTGTAGACCTATATTTGTATTCTCTTGGGTATATAACTAGGAGTAGAATGGCTAGATCAAGTGGTATCTCTGTGTTTGACTGAATTGCCAGAATGTTTTCCAAAGTACCCGTACCTTTTTTACATTCTTGCCAGCAGTACGTGAGAGTTGCAGTTTTTTCACAGCTTCATTAATAGTAACTATCTTTCTCTTTGATACAGCCATTCTAATAAATGTGAAGTGACCCCTCATTGTTGCATTTCCTGATGGCCAATGATGTTGAGTCAATCTTCATGTTGTGTTGCCTGCTTACACATCCTCTTTGGAGAAAGGGCTATTCAGATCATTGGCACATTTTTTAAACTGGGTTGTGTTAAGATTTTGTGATAGTTCTTTACAGACACAAGTCCCATATCAGATAGGATTTATGTTTTTTCAACTTGCAGATTGTCTTCATGTAAAACCCTAAGTTCTTAAATTAGATGTCCAGTGTGCCTATTTTTTTCTTCATTGCTGGTGCTTTTGTTCTAAGAAATCATTGCTTAACTGGAGGCTATTAAGACTTCTAGGATTTATTTAAAACGTTTCATAGGCTTAGCTCTTTAAGTCTTTGATATCTTTAAGTTTTTTTCTATATGGTGTGGAGTGTAGTGATTCAATTTCATCTTTTTGCATATGGATAACCAGTTGTCCCAGCACCATTTGTGGAGTCCTTTTTTCCCCAGTGGATTATCTTGGTTCCCTTGTCAAAGATCAATTGACTATAAGTGGGAAGATTTATTTCTGGACTCCAAATTCTAGGCCATTGACCTCTGGCCTTATGCTAGTGCTGTTTTCATGATTTTAATTTTCTAGTAAGTTTTGAAGTTGAAGTGTGAGCCCTCTGACTTTGTTTTTCAAGGTTGTTTTGGTTATTCCAGTCCTCTTGAATTTCCATATGAGTTTTAGGGCCAGGTTTTTAATGTCTGCAAAGATGTCAGCTGGATTTTTCAAAGGGATGATGTTAAATCTGTAGGTTTATTTAGGGAGTATTGCCATCTTGGCAGTATTATCCATGAACATGGAGTTTCTTTCCATTTTAGGTCTTTAATTTTAAACAGTGTTTTATAGTTTCAGAGTACAGGTATTGCATGATTTTGTTTTTTAAATTATGGTGGCATCAAAAATGATAAAGGGCATTATTTTCATAATCTGATTTTGTTTGCTCATTGCTACTTTATAGAAATGCACTTGATGTTTGTATGTTGAACCTCGTATCCTGCAGACTTGCTGACCTCATTAGATTAGTTTTTTAGTGGATTTCTCTCAATACATACAAGATCTTGTTATTTGCAAATAGGACAGAAATAAAATTATCTCTACATGGTTGCCTTATTTTCTTGCCTAACGGGCCTGGCTAGAACTTCCAGTACAGTGTTGAAGAGAAGTGGTGAGAACAGGTAGTCTTGTTCCTGCTCGGAAGAACGCTCTCTGTTTTTCACCATGGGGTGTGAGGTTAGCTTGTATTAGATGCTCTTAGCCAGGTGCAAGTTCCTTTCCATTTCTGGTTTGCGGGGTGAGTGAGTGGGTGAGTGGGTGTTTCTTTTTATCATGAAAGGGTATCTTCCCTCCCCCACCCACCAAGTGCTATTTCTGCATCTATGGAGATGATCGTGTTTTTATTGTTATTGATGTAGTGTATTATACTAATTCTGGATGTTCTACCAAGCTTGCATTTCTGGGATGAATCCCTTAGTGATGTTGTATAATCCTTTTTATATATTTGTGGACTTGATAGTATATTATTGAGAACTCCTACATCAATATTCACAAGAGCTACTAGTCTGTAGTTAATGCCTTTTGTCTGGTTTAGGTATCTGACTTTTAAGCTATTTGGAGT